CAACAAAACGAGTCGTAACAAAACACGAGTAGACTAAGCAAAACCCGTGGTCACATATGGAAGACCAAGATTAGGTATAAGTCATCAGTAAAGGTGGGGGTTCAGAGCTGTATTGTGGGCTTCCCAACCTTGGGTAAGAGCTACAAACCCGACAATCTACGGAAGATAATCCTTAACCTCAATCCAAGTGACTAGCCGTGGGCCTTTTTAAGTTTTACCAAATTTCTTTGATTTTTTAATGAAAAAGTTGCTGTTTAGATTTATATGTGGAGTTCACTTTAACAGGTAAGAGAAATTTTATTTTTATTTTTGTAAATATTTTGTAAAGTAGTAGACTAATTACTCTAATCAGGCTAGAATTACTGGCGACTTAAGAGCATTGGGGGCAAAAGTTTACCAAAAGTTGGCGAATAGTATCATCACTTTAACATTGAAACCCAAAACAGTGGGCAAAATGACTGCCTAAAATGAACTGTAAACCGTGTGTAAATCAACAATTAAAAGCTACATGAACCTCTCCAAAACAGTGCATAAAACAACTCCAAAATAATACCTTTAATGTCTCCAAAATAGTGAGATTGCCTCAAATCAACCCACCAAAATGCCTCAAAACAGTGCACGGGTTGCCTTAAATCAGCCCAACAAAAAGCCCCAAAGTGGTGTCAAAATTGTGCCAAAATGGTGCTTTTAATATTTCCAAAACAGTGTATAGATTGCCTCAAATCAACCCATCAAAATGCCTCAAAATAGTTCATGGGTTGTCTCAAGTCGGCCCACCAAAATGCCCCAAAGTGGTATCAAAACAGTGCCAAAATGGCGCTTGAATATTTCCAAAATAGCGTTTAAAACAACTTTTAATTGATATTTTTAATGCCTCCAAAACAGTGAATAAACATGCCCAAATGATACTTTCATACATATTTGACAATTCTTAAACATTCACATGTGTAACACTTATGCATTTACCACCCAAAATATATAACCCCATTACATGTGTAGGCAAAATGATGTGCATACCGATTGGAATTTAGGATTATACATGTAAATATGTAAGAATCGACAGTACATATGCAGATCCTCAAAAATCCAATTAATTAGCAAAGGATAGTAGTAACACAACCACCAAATAATCACAAACTTATGTTCATGAAAATGAATCATAAACTAACTGTTCAAGAAATAAAAAAAAAAAATTCTGAATTTATAATGCTAAACGGGAGAAGATTTTCTGTATTTCCAATTCACACAGAATGTAATAAGGCTCAGGTCTAAAGTGAAATAGACAATGATGCAAAAGTTGGACAGTGGATAAGAGACACACCATAAAAAGTAAAAACAGCGATTATCTTGCAACATGTTCTTTGTAAACCAAAAAGACAATCACTTAAATCATACTTTCTTCACCGACAAACTCAATCTCATAACAGAGCAAAGGGAAGCTATCTACAGCTGAGCTCTAGGGGCATGCGAGTCTCAGGGCGACATTTAATTAGCAAAGATGAAAAAAAAATCATAATCATCTCAAAGCTTCTGAAAAGGGGAAACTCGAGGAAGGGATCTTACCTTTACCTGAGAAATGCTTGCCTCGAGCTTTGAGGAGCGAGGGAGAGGGAGGCGTTTCAATAAAGAAGGATTGTGGGTGAAGGGCGATTCGAACGGCTGTTTGGCATGAGGGGCTAAGTATCGCGAGGGAGAGGTGAGGGCGAGGTAGGCGTTTCCGTGAAGAAGGATTGTGTGATAAGGAAGGCCGAACCGAATAAGCGGAAGAGGCGAATGGCTATGGAGAGCTGAGCAGGCGAGTGCTACGGGGCGAGCGTGAGAGGGAGTCAAGAGGCGTCTAGTCGCGAGGGAGAAGCGAGCAAAATGACTGTTCGATCGAGCGAGGAAGAGGGGAGCAGGCTTCGGGTTGCGTGAGAGAGAGGAGCAGGCGAGCGGGTTCGAGCGGAGGAGGAGCGGGGAAGTCGAGTGAGGGCCTCAGTGTAGAGGGGAGAAGGCGCATCAGGAAGCTTGATAATTTGGTGCAGGGGAGAGACGAGCGGGAGAGATAGGCGAGGGTTTTTTTGGCGCAGAGGGACGACGAGGCTTCGATGCAGAGTGGAGGAGAGCTGAATTAAACGGTTGAGAGAGAGGGAAGGAGTCGAATGAGGAGCTCAGAGCTTAGGAAGGGGGAGACACGATTTTTTTGTATATCAGGCATTCCAGAATGATCGTTATGCGACATATTGGCAGGGAAGTGAATGAATTTCATTCATGCAATCGGGGTAAATTGGAATGTAATAATGCCTGATTAAATTTAATTAAGGCATTAGGCGGGGTAATTTGAAATTTCAAATTACAAATTGGGTTGTTAGCCCGACCCGACATAATTGGCCATTGTCTGAGTATCATTTAATGACCAGTAAGCTGCAACTGAACGCAATGATTGATGCTTGGTTTCAGGCTTTCCAAATATTTAACTATGGAGTTTTCCCTATAGTTCCCTCAACTCACATTTTAGGGTGAGCTACGCAAACTCCACTGTGAACTCTTCTACTTACAACTTCCTCTGATGTAAGTGCTGTAGCCTCAAGAACTTGTCCTGGCAGTAGTGTGCGGCTAGATACTTCTTCTGCATCTCCTTCATCTACTCCTAAGTAGTGATCTTGTTTTCATCTTTTCTCTCCTCACAACTTTCAGATTCTCCTACCACAAAGAGACGTTCTTCTTTAGTTTTATGGCAACAAGCTTCACTCGCATATCAGCGGGTACTTATACTCAAAAATTCTAAGCAGTTTACATCCACTGAGTGAAGTCATCCAGATTCATCCTCCCTTGAAATTCAGTATGTCTACCTCACCCCCATGTCTTCATGCCCTTCAAGAGTTACTTCATCCCTTGACGTCCTGGTATTGAATCCCAAAGCTCCTTTGTATATCTTCTTCATTGGAATAATCCATATGGAAGGGATTCAGATTTTCATGCTCTCTACTTCAAATATCACTATCACAATCAACGTTGATCACTCCATCTATCTCTTAGTCATCAAGTCTTTGTTGAAGTCATCGAATTTTTTGTTGCATCTTTTTCCCGACCGACTTTCGACACTTCTCTCCTAGTGGCATGACTAGGGTTTATATTTGGGAGGTGATAGAGGGTGTATGGGGCTGATTTAGGGAGCAAACAAAAAATTAGGGTTGCAAGAGGGGATTAGGGTTAAGTTAAGATTTGGCTTTGGTTTGATGAGTTTAGTCTCTCTAGTATGAAATTAGGTTTGTGTTAGCTCTTATACCAAATGATACCAAAATTTAACAAACACCCATGGGAAGACATTTTACTGAATTCAAAGTCTGAAAATTAGAACAAACAGAGAAATAAAAAATTGCAACAAAACTACAATGCAACACTAGAATTGGTGTTGGATCTAAGGTGTAGGTGGTATGGATGAAGCTATTTAACAACAGGTGAAGGGATTTGGCAAGGTGGCAACAAGCTAGAAAGCGATGAGGGTGAAGGGAATTGATGTAGGAGAGAGTGTGGGAAGGGTAGAAGGTGATACATATATACCACCTCGAGAATGAGATACAGCCGAACCACCATTCAGATCCCCTTGAATACAACCCTAGAAAGGGGAAAGAGGAGCCGACGACTCTACAAACTCAAATTAATAAAAAAACTAAATCCTAAACATCATCAAAGAAACACTTAAATAAATAGACCTATTATTATTAGTAGTTGCCCCCACTCCAACTAGGCAACAACCTTAGGCCTAGAGAGGGTTGACTGCCCCTCCATCAACCTTAACTGAATCGGTCAGCCAACCCTGGATCAATTACTAATCAGTCTCTCTAATATTAGGATCTAAAACCTTGTGATATTAACATATTGAGTTTGCTAGCAGACACAGGATTAGAAGTCCGTTTATAAATCAACGTCTGGTTGGTTTGATTTATAGATTAAGCTAAATCAACTTGTTTGGTTTTAAAATTCAAAAACTTGATTTGACTAAACTATTTTTCCGTCCAAACTGCATCAAAAACAATTAAAATTCAGCCTTTTTGGTGTGGTTTTGAATGATCTGAAATGTAGTTAAATTTAATATTGAAACTAATTACCTTTTGATTAAATAGCATATATAAAAAAGCCTAGTAATCATTAAATTTTTTCATGAGTGCTCACCTATTTTTTAGTCAATTTTTAAATGATTCGTATGTCATGTATTTGTGGTTCACAAACTTGATTGATTTAATATTTGAAGAAACTAGTATATAACTTGGTTTTTGGTTTAATTGGTTTTAAAAATAAAACCAAGCCCATAATCAAATTGAAATAAAATTAAAATTACAATCAATAAAAGAACCGATACTTTAAAATTAAACTACACTAACCAAATAAGATTTGCTCAATTTGATTATTTTTTGTTTTATCTAAACCAATGCACATCTGTAGTTGAGATGATGAAAACATTAAAACTTGTTGGTTTACCTATATCCAAAAAAAATATACCCTATGTAAATACCAAACCCTTAAAACTAAATTGAAATAACTTTCTTATTTAAGAGATCTTTAAATAAGATCGTGTGGGCTATTTAACTACCGGGTTTTGCGCTTATTGGAATTCTCGTTCTCATCTTGGATCTAAATCCTTGTTTAATGGATGAGAAATGTAGTTAAAACTTAAAATAAGTTTAATCTACCTCAAATATGATATACTATTCCCTAATATCTTGCACATTGAAGAGGCTCAAGAAAAAGTTGACTTTTCTTAGCAATCAATTTTTATTTCTTTTAAGGACTCCCTTTTGTTTAGTTCGTCAAATTTTTTATCGAGCTTGCTTCATTATCGTGCTTTTAGTCGCTGATAGGCAGTTTGTAAATTTTTTAATTATTTAAATTTATTTATTTTTTTCAGAATATTTTTAATTTATTCCATTTCTTTCGAGTAAATGTGGCTTGAAACTATTCTTCAAGTCCTCTTCTCTTTTCCTTTTATTTCATATTGATCTAATTATTTGATTTTTTAGGTTATTGGGCTATTAATTGAAGTATGGAGAGGAGGTCTTAGGAGGCATATTATTGGTATACTGCAAATTGCTAGAAATATCTTGAAAACTTCTATAGATGCAGTTGAGATTGCAGAAATTGGTGTAAAAAAGGAATCGGTGGTTCCATTCTGGAAAGAGGCATACTATACACTTGATATGATTGAGAAGATGCTTATTCAATTTTCAGAACTTTACTTCCAACTGGATTTTCAGGTTTTTTTTTTCTGTATTTTGAAATTTTAGCCATTCTTCATTGCAGCGTATTTAAATGCCCAATTTAATTTTCTAGGATGTGATGCCTAAAAAAATGAAAATATTGCAAACTTTGTTCCATGGTTTGATGATCGAGTAATTGCGCTACGAATTTCTTTTTGGTGATTGTTTTTTATTGGGGCATTTACAGACATACCACCCAATTCTTATGTATTTACATATCTAAAATGTATACTTTGTTTTTATATTTATACCACCCAAATCTTTCATATCATCACAAAAATACCACGGTTTTATCTTTTAAAAGGTGAAATATTTCTTTTAATGCGTAGATAAGATGAGTTTATATGTAAAAAGTGAAATTTAGGTGTTAGATATGTAAATACGTAGGAATTGTTAAGTGTTGTGTATGTAAATCTTCCTTTTCAGTATCATTTGTCTTGGAAACTAGCTAGAAGTATCATGAGATCTTTACTTGTGTTTTATACTTGTACAAACGATAATCAACCATTCTCTTTATCCAACTTTTCTAAACAATTTTAACATTAACGAACTAATGCCCGTGTGACTGTTAAAGAAAAGATAAATTGATGGGAATGAAAATATCTTTTTATTATCATTAAGGATAGCAACGTATCCTCATATTATATATTAAAGGTGGCACAAGTTCCTTTATTATGCCATTATAAAAACCAAATTATGTATTCACCAACACAACAACAACAAGCCTTTATCCCTTTTAAGTGTGGCCGGCTATATAAATCCTTTTTCTCAATTGACAGAAAAACATGGGTGAAACCACCAGCATGGCCACTCTCAAAATTTTTATTACTTTATATAATGATTAGGTTTTAGGAGTTTACCCACACACGATTTATGATTTTGCCCAATCCTCATAAAAAATGCCCAATTTAACCACCTGTTTATATATATTTTCTTCAAAATTTTCATTCTTATCTATTTATATTTCCATTTCATAAATCTATTAATATTATCTTACTAGTTAGTTGTATTTCATTCTAAAAATGCTAATTATGTATTTTTTATTCATTTTTGTTATTGTTATTGTTATTATTATTATTATTATTATTATTGTTGTTGTTGTTGTTGTTGTTATTTAATGCTTAAATTTTTGCCCACCCTAAGAAAATGGGCTTGTTGCTGGCAGAGAATTTTCAGTAGTAGCGATGCCAGATATTAACCCTGTTCTTTCTTTAGAAAATGTTCAAAACCGAGTTTTTTTTTTCTCTGCTTAGAGGCTACATAAAAGCTGCCTTTTCTTAACCTCTAAATGATTAAAGAACTAAGTATTGTCTTATTGTTTTTTCATCAGGAGATCTGGGGTTTGATTTGCAAATTTTTATTGCATCCTCATTTATGGTTGCAAAACATTTCCAGCCGGCTTGTGGCCTTGTATTTTAATGCTGCAGCTGAAGCAAGCAGAGCTGACAGTGAGAAAATGAACCAAAACAATCTTTTTCTTATCAATCCTACCAGACTATTTGCAATCTCCGCTTCAACCTTGAAGCAACTGGAGGTACAGGTGATAGGCGATTCGAGTGGCAATATAATTACTCAAAATCTCGCATTTTCAATTTGCAGTTTGCACTCATTTGCGAAGCGTAAGAGTCCGACCGGATTGCATGCATTCTGGTCAATGCTTGATGCTGGTGAGAAAAGCTTGTATCTGGAGGCTTTTGATTTACTTGGTTCAAGAAAGGCAAAAAGGAGTTTTTTACTTTACACGAGTGTTACCGATGAATCTTCGGTGGAGAAGGATCGCACAACATCGGATAATGAGGACCTTCAATCACTATTAATTAAACCAATTTTGAAGAGGTTGGGAAAGATAGCTATGGAGAGAGAGAATTTTCAGGTTTGTGCATGAATTTTTTTTTAATTTGGGGCATTTACATACATTACGCCCAAATTCTATGTATTTACATATCTAACACCTGAACTTTACTTTTTATATTTATACCACCCAAATCTTTCATATCACATTACAAACCATTATTTTAACTTTTAAAATGTGAAATATATCTTCTCATGCATAAGCTAGCATATATGTAAAAAAAGGAAATTTAAGTGTTAGATATGTAAATACATAGGAATTAAGTGGCATGCATGTAAATCTTCCTTTGAATGATTTATTCAACTTAGCGTTCTATTTCTTACTTTAATATTCTGAACATTTAGCCATGTTTTATTCAACTTAGTGTTCTATTTCAAATATAGAAATAAAGATTGGCCCATAGCTTCATAATTAAACTTGTGGGAAAAAAATTTACACACATACTACACAATTCTAATTTATTTGCTTATATTGCACTTAAACTTTTATTGTTACATTTATAGCAATTCAGTGCCATCAACCCATGCATCAAAAGGTGTATCTCACTTAGAAAAGTAAATAAAAGCGGCATTTTTGATGTGATATTTAGGATTGGAGTAACGCATGTAATTATGAACGTTTAGTGTTAGTTATGTAAATACATAAGAAGTGTCAGGTATGCTTGTAAATGCATTTTATTGTAATTTTTTTATAAATAATTTTTGAAATGTCTGCAGATGAAAATTGTATTTAACTGCATAAGAACGATCTCCTCACAAATTGGTGAGGAAGGTTCACGTGATTATGCCATCCATCTGTTGCTACCATTGTACAAAGCTTGTGAAGGTTTTGCTGGAAAGGTCATCGAAGGTCAGCCTACTCATCTTCTTACTAAGCAATTGTTCTTTCACACTTTTTCTAATAAGTGCTCTTTAGATGTGTAAATGCAGAAAATTGTTTTTATCCGGACTCCGGACGTAGCTCTACGTGCAGACTCCCAATAATATACCGTTATGTGTGCTATATTGGGCCAACCTAAAAGAATATTAAAGTGGAACCGCGGACTTCATAATAACCACGAAATAACCTCTGCGGTTCCACTTAAATAATACGAAAATAACCTCCCAGAAATAATTCTGTAGAGGTTATTTCAAGGTTATTTTGGGGTTATTGAAGAGACATATATTTTACTTCAATAACCCCGAAATAACATCCGCGGTGCTATTTCTGGGTTATTGAAGTGGAACCACTTATGTTATTTCAGAGTTATTTTTGGGTAATTTCAGGGTTATTGAAGTAGAATATATGAGTTTTTCTTCAATAACCCCAAAATAAATCTCTACGGTTCTACTTCAATAACCCTAAAATAATCTCTGCGGTTCTACTTCAATAACCCCGAAATAACCTCCGCAATATAGCACACGTGGCGGCGTATTATTGGAGTCTGCACGTAGAGCTACGTCTGGAGTCCGGAAAGAAAATTTTTCCGTAAATACATAGAAATTGAGTGGTATGTCTGTATAAATCTTCCTTTATTGGTCCTTTCTACCCTTCTCAGATGAAATTAAGCAGCTTGCAGAAGAGGTTCGGGACAGTATTCGTGATGTGTTGGGAGTTGAGAACTTTGTACAGGTCTACAATAGGATCAGAAAGAACCTCAAGGGGAAGAGAGACCTTAGAATAAACAAACAGAAGCTGATTGCTGTAATGAACCCTATGCTTCATGCCAAGAGAAAGCTCAGAATAGCAGCTAAGCATAAAGCACATAAGAGAAGGAAAGTTGATGCAATGAAGATGGGCAGGAGAAGAACTTGAAGGCTAATTTTATATTTATTCACAATTTTGTTTCTTTTTTTAATTTTCTTATTAGATTTTATTTATCAAACATATTTGTTCTGATTGGTGATTGTTAGAAGTAGGATTAGGTGCCAAATGTATTCTTTATGATGTAGGATTTATGCAAGTGAGCATTGAAACACTTGCATGATGGAATCTATGTCGTGTATATGATCATAAGTAGTCTATTTATTATCATCGACTTTAGTTAAAGGAGCACAACTCAGCTATATCCTCTGAGTCGGATGAAGCACGCATTAAAGAGTCATATGCTTATTCTATTCTTTTCCCCGGCGTAGCCAAGCCATTTTGGACTTGAACCAGAGATCTCGCTCGTGAAATAAATCATTGCACCTACGATCCAACCAATTGGGAGAGAATCAATATATTCAACCTTCCCGAACGTAACACACAACTTTTCATTGTACTGCGCTCTTCTAAGTGTGCTTGTTCCGTCTTCTCCCTTACCATGACAAGCCTTTGTAAAATGTTTTTAAAAATGACTACTAACTAAACGTATTTTGATTTAAATTAAAGCATAAATAAAATGAAATAAAAGAACAATGAAAAAATGAAAATAAAAGATGTACCAAATAATTCCTTGTATGATTTTGATTTTAAATAATTTAAATTTAAAAAAAATATATTTATTTGCGCATTGGGCTGAAGCATTTTCTAGCCACAAGGAACTGTATATGATTGGGCAATATTTGATTGTTGATTATCATATATTTAAGGGATAATTACATAAGGCCACCGTAAACATTGATATCTAGGTTGGCTGATCATGTGATTTTTTAATTTTTTTGAACCATTTGGTTGATGTATGTGTGCGTGTCATGATTAAATTATTGAGAATTTGATTAAAAAAAAAAAAAAGTTAGGTTGGGGTTTTAACCATGATGCTGTCTGACTTGGGCATTTTAGGGTTATTTGATGCAATGTAATATGCTAAAAGTTTTAAAGTTTGATATAATTTAGAAGATTTGGTAAGATAATATATGTAATAATGGCCCTATGATGAGAGTCTGCGTCATGTGCCTAAATATTTGAGAACTTAACGCCACCGAGGATCGAACCTGTGACTTGAGGGGACTTATAGTAAACTCTGCCAACCAACAGACCACGATTTGCGGCACACACAAACACACACACACACACAGAGAGAGAGAGAGAGAGATTAAAGAAATAATCAGATGCTATTAGACGAGCCCCAACCATTCCTAAGTGTGCTAAATATTTGTGTACCATACCCTACACACGGGGAATTCAAACCCGTGACCTTGAGGGGACTTACAACCTTCAAAGAAGCCGATCTACCAATAGACCACCGAAGTTTGCATTTTTCTCATAGATTCTCTAATATTTTAAATATTAAAGAAGCAACATACTCTCTAGATCATATGTCAAGGCCGAATATGGAGCATTATCAATCATCTTTTATGACAAACATATAGAAATATATTATCATTTCATTCACCACAAACTTGATATGAGCCGCATCAAATCTATCTATTCAAACTAAACATCAACTCGCTGATATCTTCACCCAATCCCTTCACGGATACCAAAATGTCTCCTTTTATGCACAAGATGACTGCCATAAATATTCAATATTGCCTTTTTTTTTTCTCACCTATCTTTCAATAGGAGGTTTAGGAGGTTGTAACCTACCGGGAGGTCTCTGTATTTTAATATATATATGTTAAAATACACCAAATGTCGTCACAAAAGAAAAGAAGAAATCCTAACACTAAACCCTACGAAAAGGAAAGGCTCCCGAAGCACAAGAAAAGATTTTCAAAATTCAAGATAAACAATTTACATTCCAAAAATTACAATTTACTTATGCCGCACAAACACATCAATCAATGTAGGTCAGATCGGACTTCTGGCTTCATACTTATTCAGAAGAGAAAAATATTTTAAATCGGATCCATTTGACAAAATCTAATTGAAATCCGAACGTAATATTTGTTCCTAAAGCCGAGACAAAGTAGAAATCATGGCCTCGCGTGGCCTGCATAAGGCTTCGAGAGGAGTTGCTTTAGGCATCGTGATGCCCGAGCCTTCCTTCACATCCACCTCCTCCAATCCAATCCTTTTCCACTCAAAACACTGAATCAAAGTACCCAAAACCAAGCCCACCTCTTTCATGGCAAGTCCTTCACCCGGACATCTTCTTCTCCCCATTCCAAAAGGAATCATCTTCCCTCCTTCAACTTTATTGTTCTGAAGAAATCTTTCTGGAAGAAACTTAGTTGGCTCCGGCCATATTGTTGGATCCCTCTGAATCATATAAGCATTCACCAAAAGCATCGTTCCCCTTGGTATATTATAACCTCCTACCTTGCAATCTTCTAATGACTCATGAGGTGCAAGCAGAGGACCTACTGGATACATTCGAAGTGTCTCGTTGATGACACAATGGAGATATGGAAGTCTATTGAGATCTGATTCTTCAAGCAGGCGACCATTCTCTACTTTCTCATCAATCTCTTCCCCAACCTTAGCAAGTTTTTCAGGATTGTTTAGTAGCAGAGACATTGCCCATTCTACAGTGTTTGATGAAGTATCTGTCCCTGCTGTTAACAGAGTCTGTAAGACAGAGAATAATGAAGAGTGTTAATTGAGCAAAACAGACAATTATATAAAGAAAAAAGCTAATAACAGAGGGAAGGTTTTAGATCTAAGATAACCGTAATAAGAGATTTGATGAAACAATCATCATATTGTTCTGGATAGGTTCTTTGGAGTGATAAGAGAGAATCTATCATTGTTCTATGATTCCTTTGATCTTCCTTTGATAACTTTCCTACTTCTTCTTCTTCCACCTTTATGTTCCTCCTACAATCATCTAGAAGAGCCTGCATAAAGCCATCCCTGTAATTGTGAATCCGAGTGAGCTTACTCAGCGTTCTTCGTCGGGCAAACCACCCAACCAATATAGGAAGGAAGTCTCCAACGTTAGAAACACCGCTAAGAGTGAAACCCTCTTCGACTATCTCTCTAAAGCGTCGGGCCTCCCCATCGTCAAACTCTTCGCCATAATATCCTTTTCCGGCCATCATCTTCATCATCACGTTCATGGCCAGACCAAAAAGCCGCGACTTGAGCTCCACCCTCGTGAAATCCTCACGAGTGGAATCACGAAAGAGTCGACGAGCTAAGGCCCGGGCTTCATCGGCCCGGACATCTGAGAAGAAGGCGAGGCGGTGCCCTGAAAGGATTTCGATGGTGGCTATGCGGCGCATTTCACGCCACAGAGGGCCATAGGAGGCGGATCCTATGCCGGAGTAGTTGTAGGTGGAGACTTTGGAGGAGGGAAATTTTGGGCGATTGGCGAAGGAGAGGTCATTGGTGGTGAAGCATTCTTCAGCCAGGGAGGCGGAGGAGACGACGAGGACCGGGCGGATGCCGAAGCGAAGGAGGAGAATCGGGCCGTGTTGAGCCGAGAGACGTGCAAGGGATTGATGGAGCGGTTTTTGGAGGAGGTGGAGGTGGCCGAGGATGGGAAGGGAATTAAGAGGGCTTGGAGGAAGATTCTTCTTCTTCTTGTTCCTGCCATTGGTTAGTAAGGGTTTGGTTAGGAGGAAGAAGAGAAGGAGGAGAGCTAGATAAGTGAAGATGGAGATGGCTTCCATGGGGGAAGGTGGGAAGCAAGAGGCTAGGAAAGACTAATTATTTCACAGTATAACAGAAGACTAATCAATATATAGAATTTTCCATGCTCAATTATTAGTTAGGTGACATTTTTTGGAGAGATTATTTCCTGCGGACACCGCATGCCGTAGGTCACGGTGATCTACGGTCAGAATTATTTCTGTGTTTTTATATAAAAAAAAAAATTTAGGTGGGGCCCACCGCTGGATAGGATTGGGGACATTTGCAAACATACCACTCAATTTTTATGTATTTACATAATGAACAATTTTTTTTTTTTTTTAATTACGATCTTTTGAGATTTTTTTCTCTTAAAATATATCAATATTATGAACATAAATAAATAAAAAAAAACTAAAAAAAATAAACAATATATTCTTATGAAAAATAATCTATGAGGATAAAAAAATTAAGGTGAATTAAGAATTAATTAAATGATGCTCTTTTCTATAATATAATATAAAAAAGTCAACGCTATTAAAGGAAAAAAAAAATGTGATAAAAGAATAATATATCTTAGTTTTGCAAGAAATTTTCACATAGAAGTATATAAAATATAATATCATAAAAGATATTGGAGTTTTTAATTAGAAAATTTTGAAAAGCAAAAAAATCATGAGACACAATCTGATATATATTAGACATGATATCATGATTAATATTGATGTGTGCTAGAAAACTAGCGGCGGTAGAATAATGGATTATCGTTTTAGCGTTGCACGATGATTCAACACACACTCAGAAGAAAGAGACACAATCCGTGATGACATCAGAAGTTTTTACGTGGAAAACCCGTAAAGGAAAAAAAAACTATGGGGCCTGACTCAGTTGTAAAAATTCACTATAAGTTAATGATTGCGGAGACCTCTTGTTCTGTAGATGGGAAATGATTACTAGCTTTCCAAGCTACAACGTCGACTTACGACGTCTAGTTAGCGGTGATCAACGACGACTGATGGTGGCCGGCGGAGGTGGACAGAGGTTGGCGGTGGTCGTTGGCGATCGGTGGAGGTCAACGGTGATCGGTGGTAGTTGACGGCGATTGACAATGTCAGGGATGATGTTGGACTTGAGCTCTTTCTTAAAGCCTCAAGTTCTCTCTCAAGCCTCCCCCCTCCTCATGTAAGAGGTAAAGCTCTATTTATAGTGTTTTGGGTGCAATTAATGCATGAATATGAATCATTTATCTGGAGAGCTTCCTTTGATCGGATGACGTTTGATGGACATTTGAGTGTCTTAACAATGCCAGAATTGAGAAATCTCAGGCTTATTAGATTCGTCTTGTTGAGACACTCGACTCGACTATAAACTTGCTGAATTCGACATTCATTTGAATTTTCAAATGTGTCCGGAAATCTTTCAAGAATGATTTCGTCTCTGGTAATCCTCTAAGAGTGGTTTAATAATTTGATCTGGGTTTGATTTGACTTGGATTGGACTAACTTTCATATCATTAGGTCCGTCTCATCGAGCCGATCAGTTTAACTATAAGTTTGCTAAAATTGGAGTTTTGAATGAATCTTAATCGAAGTTTGAATGTTCTTTGTTCGATTCGTGCCAGATGAAATTTTGTTGATGCCGTATCAATATATATATATATATATATATATATAT